CTTTTCAAATCGGGGATTTACATACATACTCTTAGTTACTTATCTGGACGTACTATTATATAACTAGACACTTAAAAACTTTAATTATTCACATATATAGTACCATTTTATATTTATTTTTAAATAATCAAATTTACCATTCCATATTTTCATATTCCACAACTCATAAATATTGTCATGTCCTTACCTACCATCGTATGATATGAAAAAGTGAATCTATGAGTGGTCATGATACATGCGTAATATTAAAATGTTAGGTAAGTTAGAGTATGTAAATGAGGTATTATACTAGTGATATATAGTGCATAATCTCCAATTTTTACATTTATTCATATGAGTAGTATATATATCGAGTATATATGTATTATATATATTTGTGGTGTTGACTTTGTTAGTACACAATTTGATTTCTCTTAATTGCTTTCTTTGAGGTTTTTTTGGGTACTCATAATTCGTAAAGTTTATTCAGTGATAAAGATTTTGATTCTGTATAGTGGATATGCCATCGACTGTTGAAGATAATGGTGAATTCTTATAAAGTGTTTATTTTTTTAATATTATATATATATACTATATATATATATGTATATATATCAATATTATATTAGTAATATATAATATATATATATATAATATTATATATATACTATATAGTCTTATATATTATATAGATATATAATGTTTTTTTTGTTTTATTTTGTTATGTTGAGTTCTTCTTATAAGTTATATGCTGAGGGTATCTATATTTTGGCAACTGTGCGTTGCAATGTTTAATCCCTATTGACTTCAATTTTGAGCTTGTAATTTCAATTAAGGAGTTGAAATTGTTTTAAGATGGCTTCAAGTCTTGATTTTTTAAGAATTGTAAATAAAGCTTCCTTTGTAATTTCGTTTAGTGCTAATTTAACCAAATTAGCATATCTCTCAACAAGAATAACTATTTTGAATTATTAAATCAAAGATCATTAATTTTGGAAATTTTTTTTCTAATAAAAACATTGAGCAAAGTTGACGAAAATCATGACCGGGTATGAACCGGAAGGAGAGATACACGGGTTTAGAATGGGTTGAAACTGAATACGTAATAAATAATATAAAGCTTTATTAAATATTACATAAAATTAACATAAAATGATGATAATCTAATAAAGAAAGGTCATTCCTAATATTTTCTAACCAAGTCTTTTTAGGTCTACCCCTACCTTTCTTAACACAAGTCAAATCTAATACCTCTACTCTCCTAACTGGGTCGTCAAATCAGAGATACCGAACTAGCTAATCCTATTTTTAAAACCATGCTTTGAGTCCATTTTCTAAGGATTTCAAGATCTTAAAATTATGTTAAAATTATTATATTTTCAAGCCATGAACATACAACTTTAAAAAAATAAAATAAAAATATTTTGAGTTTTAAAACTTTTAAATTTATTTTAAAAAGAATGTAATATAAATTATTTCTATATTATATTTATCTAAAAAACTTAAATTTATAAATTTCTTTCAAACTGAAATAACTTAATTCTTGTGGATTAAGATTAATTTTTTAAAATTATTAGAAGTTTCCGGCCATTAATCCAAAACCAATAATTTTTGCACATCCTTATAAAATAAATAAATTAAAAAAACTTCTTCACCATTGCCTTCTCTTGGTCTCTCGCTTATCAAGGTAAGATTACCTAAAATCAAGCCAAACCTTTCCTTCCTCTATAAATAAGCACCAATCCATCACAGATACAAAAAACAGAGCATTGCGAGAAAGTAGAGAGAGAAACAATTTGATTAAAAGAAAATAATAATAATAATATCAAAATGGTTCTTCTCGAAAAGCTTTGGGACGATGTGCTCGCCGGACCTCAGCCCGACAGAGGCCTCGGCAAGCTCCGCCGAAAGGCCTCCCCCAAGCCCCTCGTCATCAACCAAGGTACACACACACACTCTCTCTCTCTACAACCTCTCTTTCTTTGTCCTCCACTTTCTCTCTTTCTCTCTCTAATATTTAAAATTATATTTTTTATGAATAATTATCTTGCACTAATGATCAAATTTTCATGCATTTTTGTGGGGTGGGGGAAGATGGTGAAGGAGAAAGCAGTGCTGGCAAGGCGTTCCAACGAACAATGTCGATGCCGGAGACACCACGAACGCCGGTGATGCCGCCGGAGACGGCGAAGAAGGCCAACGTGTGGCGGAGCGTTTTCAACCCGGGGAGCAACATAAACACCAAGACCATAGGGGCTGATCTCTTTGACAAGCCTCAGCCAAATTCGCCTACTGTTTACGACTGGTAATTTTGTAATTCTTTTTATGTTTTGTAATTTAATCATTGTTTTACATTGTATTTTTCTTCATAAAAGTACCATATTTTAAAATATTTGCAAAAAAAATAATTGTTGCGGTATGAATGTAAATTTTATTTTGCAGGATGTACAGTGGAGAGACAAGGAGCAAGCACCGCTGAAGAAGCAGATCGCTATTTATATATATGATGTTAAGAATAAATATATTACAAATTTACCATTTACTTTGAGAGGTTGAACCTTTGTATTCGGTAGATATTTTGTCAATGTGGTGATGGAGGTTTGTAATGTAAAAAACTGCTTTTTTTATGTAATTATAAGTATTAACTATTAAGAACTTGTGTGCTTCTTCGATTTTTCTTATAAAGACCCATGAAATATTTTTATTTGCACAAACCACCTAAAATCATTCTCTCTACCAAATAAAGCAAGCAAAAGCTAATGATCTATGGTTATTTTAGGTATTTCAACTATTTTACCATCATTTTAGTATATATGCCATAATATATTTTATTTGATATTTATCAAATTTATTGGATTTTTATATTAAATTAAAATTAATTTTGGTGGAGAGTATATATGACATAATATATTTTATTTATATTTATCAAATTTATTGGATTTTTTAATATTAAATAAAAATTAATTAATTTAGTTTATATATTTACAAACCCAATATCCAATCATATATATTAGGGCTATCCTCAATGTAATTATGTAGATAAGATGTGCCCAAGATGACGTGTCAATATTTGATAGGAGATTAAGAAAATAATTTCATTTTTTTAAATCTAATAAATAATAAGCCTACATGATTGTGGAAAATGAGCTCAATCCAAGAATAGGTATGTGCTATTTGGAAAGATGCAAAGCACCTATCAACAAAACAATTCAAGATAATTAGTTTTTTGTCTTCATGAATAATTTTACTTTTAATCTAATAAAGAACAAGTCTAGAAGCTTCTAGAAAAGGATCTCATTCCAAGATATTTGGACTATGATATTTGGATAGATGTGAAGATATTTATCAACCTAACAATTAACAGTGTTTTGATTTTTTTTTTTTGGAACGGGTACCATCTGCTGCCACCCCCGAAAGGGTGTTTGGCGGCATGACTAATCCTTCGCTGACTTAGAAGAGGCACCCACCTCAGAAATCTTCTAGTCCGCACTTGATTGGGCCCCACTTAAGAGGTGCTATCGCTCAAGGGGAATCGAGCACAGCTTGAGGGGTTCTCAATCATACTCGCCCACCAACCAAACTAAGCAACGGTGGTGGGTCAGAGCTTTGAATTCAAATTGCATACAATTTTTGTTTGCAAAACAGAATTTCAGCAAAGATTCAGGGAAAAAAAAGCAGAGCCATAAATAAAACAAGAAAATATAATAAGTTTACACAAAAGAAAATTTCATGTTTCATTAGTCATCAGTGCTGTTGTCAACCTGGTTTATTATTTGCAGAAGTAAAAGATATCAAAAAATTCATGGACCTCAGAATGTTGTGATGCTCATTAAAGGCTAAAACAATTAGGAAAGAGAAGAATTTATACAGTGATGAAATTCAGGAAGTAACATATGCTTGGCTGGTTTTAAGCCTTTATGATGCCAATGCTTCACAAGGTAGCCTTCCAGTTTCCTCACCTGAAATAGTTTCAGATTCTAAAGTTATGCGTCTGTTTCGTTTGAAGCAATTTAGGGGAATATACATATATTTTACTTTATAATTTCATAAGAACTAGTTGATTCTAATATAATATGTAGAAAAATAAATTTATCTGAAAGGTAAATAAATACTTTATCCAAATGAAAAAACCAATCAATCGTGAGTCAGAAGATCTAACCAAGCTGAGTTTCAATGGGCAGATGGATCAATCTCAAAGCTTCTTACTATATAATTCCCTCTCTTTCACTCTCTCTATTTATATGCTCTCTTTCGTTCGGTGTTCTTAGTATGTTGTAGTGTGATTCATGAACAATTTTGAATTCAACATCTTTGTTTGAGTTTTGTGTTGGAAAGCTTCTTTTCACAAGTAGATATACTCCGTAATAATTGTAAGAAAACTAGCGTATAATTTTTTAAAAAGAAAAAATATTTATAATGCCCCTAACAATTTTCAAAAAAATTGTTTCCCTTATAATATATTTACAAACATATTTACATAAAACAGCAGCAGCAACAACAACAACAACAACATCAAACTTTTGTCCCACTACATGGGGTCGGCTACATCAATCTTTTTTCGCCATTGTGTGATGTCAAAAGTCAAATTCTCATTTAAATCTAATAAAGAAAGATCATTTCTAATATTTTCTAGTCAAGTCTTTTTAGGTCTACCTCCACCTTTCTTAACATAAGACAAATCTAATACCTCAACTTTCATAACCGGGTCATCGGAAGACCTCCGTTTAATGAGACCAAACCATCTAAGGTGACTCTCTCTAATCTTATCTTCATTCGAAGCACCCGAAAAAACCCTCAGCATTGTCATTCCATTTTAAGAAGACATACATGAAGCTGATGGATAAATGCATGGATAAAAATTGATAGAAACAGGTCTATTTCATGAGACTTACAACAATTCTTAGCAGTATCATAAGTTGAAATGATGCCTTAATGCATGATGAATATGGATAAAATTTTCCAAATACACGCATAAAAGTATTTAAAAAATGATTGCTATAAAAAAAACCTTACCTGCTTCACAATGAAGGGCTCCAACGAAAGAGTTAAAGGTTCTGTCAAGATGGTGAGAAAGCCATTTCGATTTCCATATACAATATCGGTGAAATATCGATCACCCACCTGATAAAATAAAAAAAATAATATAAAAATATAGGAGAATCATAATGGAGAACAGAACTGCTATAAAAGTTTTAAGTTTTATATTTTATACCATGATAAGGTCTGAGACTGGACAGCCAAAGAACTTTTCTATGTCTTCGGCAGTTCCATCTGGTTTCTTCAATTCTACAATTTTGATAAAAAGCTTTTACATCTTAAGCACTTCCAGATACAATAAATGTATTGTTTTTTTTCATATTAGTTAAATATATATTTATAAACAAATATGTCGTTGGATTTGCCAATAAAACTGTTTATAAGACTAAACTGCTCAATAATAAGATGATTTTATAAACGCGTGAGTAATTGGATTTGTCATAGCAAATAAAATAATATTGACAATAATTGCCATGCATAATCACCATATATAGTAGAATAAACTGGGTGAAAGGGATTACAAGCATTAATAATTAGGAAGCATTTGATATGACTTTACATACATTGCATCATCATCATCACCATCATTAGCCTTACTCCAATTATTTAGGATCGTTATGAACCCTTTATTTTTCATTCTTTTCTACTGAATCTTTTCTAAGTTCTTTAGGATATTTTTCGCAAATCATTTTGAATGACTTTTATCTATGAAACTTGTAAACTTACCCAATGTGCTTGAATTTTTCTCATTTCCATTTAATTTCTTAAAAAATAAGTATATTTATCCTTTGCTTATCATAACATCCACCAATTTTTTCATTCCCATTCAAAGACTTCAAATAATATATGACATTTAATCTTGCATTTAACCTCGTCAACCTTGCACAGTTGCACTGCAAGCGCATATAATTTGTTTGTTGGTGAATATGATGGAAGATTTCTAGCCATAAAATATTGAGTGCAATTATGTAAGTTGTGCAAAAGAAATGTTGGGTATTACTTTTGGATTTCAGTACATACATTAATGTCATGAGGATATAAGATTTCATTAAATAGATGTAACTGTCAATACATCATAGATTTGAGAGTATAAACTCATGAATATACAAATCCACCTAGTACTTTTTCCATTATCTAACCTCTTGACATTGTTGAGAACTGAGAAGCAATACTACTATTATGGGATCAACAAGCCCTTGGATTTCATGGAGATAGATCTTTAAGAGCCATATAAAGGAGATATGTTTTCATCATGAGGGTGGAACATTCAATGAGAAGTAATAACATATTATGCTCCGGCAAAAGTTCATTTTGAATCAACGATAGACTAGTCCTATATTGAGAGGGGAGCACCAATTTGATGTTGATTAACTGAACACTTATCGATAAAATTATTTTTTAGTGTACCTTTCGACTTGTTGGAAGAATTGTTTAATAAATATGAATGAAATGTGTTCATGCAAAGGTTTATTTAGCCATTTCCAACGAAGTAGTGTGAGGTGGGGGAGGGGTCGAGGGCTTTTAATTGTTTTTGATCCATAGACCTAAGGTTGTCAATATGCAAAACATTATGCTAGTTGCAATGGATTTTGCTTTGAAACACAAAACGTCAAAACATCAACAAAATGCATACTTTGATCAATTGAAGCCCACATATGAGAAGGAACATTAGGATTGGGCTACTTACAAACATGATATTGCTTGTAAAACTAAAGAAAAAGAATTGAAGATATGAAGGTTGATGAATGCACTCATCATACTTATGATTACCCATATAAAAGGGTTAAGGAGAAGGGGAGATATTTGAGCTATTTGATTTCTCAACCCATTCGAATCATGGCATCTAGTTTTGAGGTATGGGTACAAAATTAATGTTGATGCATATATCCATATATCCTTAATGAATTATAATTTGCAAAACATATCACAATAGTGACCAAAGTATCTATAATCCTAAAGATTGTCAGATAGTCTGAAGGTGGAAGAAGAAATACTCTAGATAGTGAGTATTTTCAACCAAAGAAGGAAGCAATGCTTAAACTAAATCGGGCTCTTAATCATTGAAAATTGGTTCTAAGACCAATTCGATTTCAAAATGTATTTTCCTGAACTTATACTTGGTCTTAGATACACAATATATATAATCAATATTTTAGAAATGATGTTCATATCTTTTGTGGATTCTTACTTTGATGAGATTAGCTAACATTACAGAAGCACAAACTTAGCATAGATTAAAGTATTTTAAATAAATGAGTTACACTACAAGAAATGCAGTATGTAGCCCCCAACAAAAAATGAAAAGTAAACAAACATCCTAGCAGATCAAAAGATGAGCTCTCGCACAAATATCCTTGAAGATAAAAAAATATTACTAAGTGGTTTGATCTTTCCCAATCCAACACTTTAGCAAACATATAAAACTCAAACACCAACTGCATTCCCTATCATGAACTAAAACAGAACTTCTCTAAACTCATTAACCCATAAATGCTATTCTAAGGTGTAGCAACATATTATCTTTCGCACGCCACCACCAATGCTTTCATACAGTAAAATTTAACCCAAAAAATAAAAAAAATATAGAGTAACTAGGATCGAAATATACAAACCATGCCTTATAACATGAATTCCCCCTATTGATTCCTCAAGAGTCCTCGCTTCAGAGCCATCAGGATCATATTGATACAAACCTGAAATTATCCAATCAATAAATCTGACCGTTTAAAAAAGGGAGGGGTATGAAATTCAACATTCCAGTTGGGAGCTTATATTTTTTGGGTCACACAGATTCTGTTTTTTTCTCATAACCGACCAAAAAAAAAAATTTCAGTCAATTTCTCCTCAAACTAGTAGCCTGGTGAAAACTGATTTCAATTCAACATTCCTATGTTCCAATTCCTTCAACAAAACAGAGCTAAAAAAAAAATCACCTGCGGAATTGCTGAAAACCGCAACTTTTCCCGGAAAAGCGGCCTGGCATTGGACGAATGACCCGGAGAGCGCAGGCCAGAGGGAGAGCGAGTAAGGAGCAGTAAGGGTATTATCTTTGTCAAAGACGACGCCGCGAAACCCCAGCCGCTCGAGCTCGGACCAATCGATCCAGCGAACATCGGGAACGGATATATGGGGCAGGGCAAGGTGGGGCTTTTTTGTTGCGACGCTCAGAAACGAAGCGACGCCCGCTGAATTCAGGCTTTGGCCTACGGATTTCTTCCACCATTGATTCATCTCAACCTTCTCCAAGTTTTTTCTTATAGGGTTTTCTTCTCTTGAGAATAGAGTATTCTTTGAGCAGAAGCGCAGATGGTAAGCACAGGGAAGATGGATTAGAGCTGCCATGATTACAATTTACAACTTTACTTTTATTTTAATGTATTATGCAAATTTATAAGGCTGTTTGGTTCAAAACATTTTGGAAATTTTGTCAGAGAAGAGATTTAAAAAATATAGGTATTTGATAAAAAATAAATTAAAAATAAGATTTTGAGAATTTGAACTCATTCTTTAATTTATTTTTTTGTCATATTTTATAATTAATGGTTTTGATTGATTTCAAAAGTCATTGTTAATTACTATAATCGCTAGCTACACCTCAATGCTATCATTGATTCACCATAGCCCCTTAGCCATCATTGTCGCATCAATAGTCCACATGCACTAGTCATCGCAACCACCTACTTTATAGGTAGATTGACTAAGGGGCTATTTGGTTGACAATAAACTTAGGGTAAAGTAAATCAAATAATTATATTTTAGCTTTTAACATGTTTGATTTGACATGGAGTAAATATATATATATTCAAAACTACTCACCTTAGCTCATTTCACGGGTAAATAAAACCGCTCAATTTGAAAAAAAAAAGAGAGTTTATGAGACGCAGGCGAGGAAACCATCATCGTTTATTCTCCATTTTGTCATGGCTTCGTGTCAAGTAGAGTTTTGCTCGAGTCCCTTCATCGGCTCCTTGTTGTTTAACTTCGCCCCTTCCATGACGTTTCCTTTATGTCAGATCGGAAAACACGGGAGCTTCGAGCATTGAACAAAATTTCGCTACGTTCAAGTTTTCTCCTCTTCTCCTCCAACATCCCAACAACAAAAGCCAGTCGACCACTACTATTTGCTCTGTAGCTTTGTGCTTGTCTCCATTGTACTCCGCAATCGCAATGGGTTACTGCACTTGGCTTCGACGCTAATTCCTCTTGGCGCGCAGCTTGCTCAACCATGAGCCGAGTGATTTGGAAATGCAACATTGGATTCTAATATTCAGGTATCACAAGAAGGAAGTGGGAGAGGAAGAAGAAGAGGAAGTTGCACCAGAGTGCGTAATTTATCTATCACCTTTCAATGAAGGAGAGGAGGTTAGGCAGTTGAAAGATGTCGACTTGGGCTTTTTCGCAGTTACAGTGAAGCCATGTTTTTTATAATCTTCATAGATAGTGACTGGGGGGGGGGGGGGTAGGGGAGGGGGGGTGGGGGGGGGGGCGGGGGGGGGGGGGGGGTGGGGGGGGGGGGGGGGGGGGGGGTAACTTTTTTTCAATTTCAAATCTCAATCCATCTTCTACCGGTACCATGCAATGTTTTAGGTGTTGAGAGAGAAAGTCTAATTAATGGGCTCAGAGCATGCAATACTTCTGCTGTTGAGAGAGAAAGATTAATGGGGTAAAATATTGAAAGAGAGAGAGAGGGACGAATGACTTTCCATTGTGGATATACGGAAAGATGAAACCTACTTAATTTTTTGTGGCTTAATAGAGTAAGAAGTCTGTCAATGAGAAAACATACTCTAATTTTTATAATTTTTAAAGTTATATATTAATCCAGAGAAGCCATCATTTTTTTTACACATGAAAAGCATCAATAATTTGTTTTCTCATTTGCTCTTCTCTCGCGACTCATGACCTCGAGCACGGTTTTTATTTTCCCTTTCGCTCCTCTCTCACCCCCAAATGATTAATTAATTTCTTCTTTGGCATGAATAGACATCATCTTCTATCTCTAAACATTTTTACTTCATTTGCTCTTCATGTAATCGTTTTTTTTTTTATTTTGGTTCCTGTTTCAGCTTTCGATCCAAGGATAACAACGACAACCAAACACACGTAAGTGATTTTAAGTAGGGGGAGTTAAGAAGAAGTTAAAAAGGAGAGATAGAGGATGTATTGGTGGAAGGTAGATGATTAATGAGATAGACAACTATTAGGAGAGCTTCCACTTAGAAGTGTGTAAGTAGATTGGCTTCAAAGAGAAGAGTATGTCTAGCGTCTAAGAGATGACGGTGCTTTCGTTTAGCAACACCATTTTGTTGGGGGGTTTAGGGACAACTGTATTGGTGTTGAATGTCATGCCAGGTAAGAAAGCTTTAAGTGTGGAATTAAGAAATTTGCCTCCTCCATTTGTGCATATAGTGCGTATTGGTTTATTCAATTGTTTTTCAATGAATGGTATAAATGTTATGAATGTAGTTGTTGCTTCGGATTTAAAATTGAGTAAAAAAATCTAAGAGTAATGAGAGTAATCATCCACTAAAAGCAAATAAAATTGAAAACCATTATTTGAAACAATTGGAGAGGCCCCCAAATATCAACATGTAATAGTTTAAGAGAAGAAGATGAATAACTAGTTGATTCATTGAATGATAGGCTATGGCTCTTGGCAAGAGCATAAGAGTTACAAAATGTAGTTGATTAGAGGAGTTTAATTATATATAATTGTATGCATAAATTCATTTCAACAAATGAGTTTTTGGAGAGTCACCATACGTATTTTTGTGCCCCAAATGACACATACTTTGGACTTAATAACACATGAAAGCATTGAATACGAACAATGTACATTTACATTTCTCTTGCTTTTCACTTCTTAATGCTTATAATAAAAAATGGGATATCGCACATTCTCCAAGCAAATTGAGAATACTTTATAACACAAATTTTTGGTGAAAGAAAAGATACTTTGTAAAATAATAAAAAAACTCATTTGCGAGCCTCTATGGCAGTTAAACAGGTTTTGACAAATCATGTATTAAATATATTGCTCATCAACAATGTGTATGTGATGGATTATGATTAGATTGGAAATGTGTATGAATTTGGTCTCCAATAAATCATTCTTGAGTGTTCTTTATGAGACCTTGGTAAATGTTAACCTCTTGTAATGAACTATGAAATGTTAATAGCTTCTCATGACATGTTTTGTTTACTTGCATTTAAATAATTGTATAAATCTTATAACTCGTTCTCTTAATGAATTTTAATGACCATTTGTGAAAGATTTATTCAATTATTTATTTCATATTATTGATGATCGAAGCATCTTGATAGTGAACTAACAATACACGTTTCTCTGTCTTTCTTGGAAGTATGAAAAGAGAAATGGATATTTGTGTTGACATTGAGTTCTAGTGAGATAATACGTGCTTTTATTTTTACTTATATTTATATTGATAAAAGAAATTAGATAGCTCTAATTATTTATTAAAAGATGAAAGAATAGTTTTTTCTAATTAGATTATAGGGCATGACAAAGCATTGAAGTAAAAAAGGCTTAGAGATAGAAAAAGATGTATGTTCATGCCACAAAAGAAATTAATGAATGAATAACTGTGATATCTACGCTCAAATTTACATTTGAATTTGATATTGAACTGTATCGAATAGTACAAAAAGGCATAGATATATATACTGCCAGTGAACATCTAAAATAAAGCAAAAAAAGAAACGATTATTACATGTGGAGACCAGACATGGAGAACCGTTTGATTTTGTCTTTGTGAACAAAAGCACAGTGGTGAACAGTAAAAACTTAACTTACCACACTTTTACTCTTCATAGAGACAAACCAGACAGTTCTCTGTGTCTGGTCTCCGCACATAATAATTTCTCCAAAAAAAGATTGGTGAAAATGTTATAATCTTTTAAAGCAAAATCGGAGCACTTCATGTGTTTTGTTTTATTTGTAAGAAATAAATATGGCCATATCTTGTAATTGGAAAGCTAGTCGACATCTTTCAATTTAGTAGTGATTTCATTTGATAGTTAAAAGCAGGAAAGTTGCTGTCAAGTCCTCAATACCTTCTTATCCTCTTAGCCCTCCTCCCATTAAAATCAGCAGCCTCCTCACACAAGATCATAACTAACTCATCTCCCAATTTCTCAAACCTTCTTTCTCGCCGATTAACACAACCACTATCACTACAGCAGCTCTCTAATATTAATATAGTTTTTGTTTTTGTTTTTTTTAGAGTGAATATTCATTCAATAATAACAAACAATATACTTTACTCAATTGAATGGTAAGTTGATAGAAGTGTACCTATCTATAAAAAAATAAGAGAATAATAAAAAATATAATAAATTAAAATATTCTAAAAAATTATGATATTTCTCATAATAATTTAATAATGGTAGAATGGAGTTTTGTAACATATATGCACCCCAAAAGATTTCATTTAGTTTAAAATAGGATTTAATGCATTTCTTATTATGCATATATTGATTGTGAGTGAAGATCATCATAAATGAAACCTTAATCGCTCAAGAAAGACGCTCTCGTGCCCTAGCCGTGAGATCACTAGCCTCTCTGGCGATTTAGCTTTTCCCCTCTTCTCTTCGTCTCCGATCCTTTTCTCCCTCTATCAGCGTTCTGTTTCTTCGATCGTCCGCTCTGTTTTGGCTCTCTGTGCTGAGCCGTGCCCCTTCTGGGCCCTGTTTGATGGCTGCTGCGGCTCCTTCCTCCTCCTGGGGGAAAGCTTTAGAGCCGGTGCTGCATAAGAACAAAGGTTTTTTCAACCTTGAAGATGATACTCCGAAATCTCCTTCTAGATCTAGATCCTTTAAAGAGGTACTCTCTGGAAAAGTCGCATCAGGTGATGAACTTCCATCTCTTACGCAATCTACTTTTAACGGGGTTCCTGCGGTTTTACTCTCTGATGAAGAAGTTCTCAAACTTGCCTCTCCCTTCAAGTTTACTCTTGTAGGTTGGTGGTAACCGTCCCAATGCTAATGCTATGGATGATTTCAATTCTATGATTAGTGATTGCAAGTTGAACGATATTGGTTATTTTGGTAGTCCCTTTACTTGGCATAGAGCTAATTTATGGCAAAGACTTGATAGATGTCTCTTTAATGATGACTGGATTGCTGAATTTCCTTTATCTAACATTGAGCATCTTAGTAGAACCCTTTCGGATCACTCTCCTCTTCTTATTAGTTTTAATAAGTGTTTGAATCATAATGCTAAGTCTTTCAGATTTCAAAATATGTGGATGCTTCATGCGGATTTTCCTACTCTTTTATCTTCTAATTGGAATGCTCCTGTTTATCCTAATAACAATATTACTGGTATGTTAAGATTATGGTCTAAACTTTCTAGAT